CCAGCTTGAAGTACCCGGGTTTCCCGTCCACCGGCACCAAGGAGACCGGTTTGTTGGTCTGGGACGTAGCCTTCTGAGAAGCCGCCACGAAGCCCTTCAGTCTCTTCGTGGGTGGCGTCTGCGCCTCCTCCGGTGGTGTGGCCCGCTCCGTGCCGTCCGCATCTTCCATGTCCTTGTCGCCCTCCTCGGCGGGGCCAGGGGCACCCGAGCCGGAAGTCGGTGTGGCAAATGCCACTCGGAGACGCTCCACTGGGATAGGGTCGTACTTATAACTTGAGTTATAAGTTACTACAAGTGGACTTATAACGTGGGACAAGTGGACTTATAAGTTTGCTAAGTCCGAGGATAGTTATAAGTTACTTGTCTATGTTTAACTTAGATAGGCCCACTTATAAGTTCGAGCTAAGTTCCGGGTGCCGGGACTTAGAATGAACTTAGCTGGGACTTAGCTTTTTAGCACCATTTGAGGAAAACAGCCTTCGGTCATTCAGCGCTTGCGAAGCAATGTCCCAAACGCGTCTACCTCGCTGAGTCTACGTGTCTGCCTGCGTGCGAAAAAGCACGCGTGCGCTACCCCTGACATGTTGCGGACCACATCGCTGAACGAGAGAGAAAGCCTGACACCGGACTACGCGCGCGCGCATCATTTTTCGAGACGTACGGTCGCTCCCGGCTAGACCGCGCAGGGCGAAACACGGCGTAGCGGCGGCGGGGCCGCTTCCATGTTTGGAAAACACATCGCGGCAGGACCGCGCAGCGACCATCGCGGCAGGACCGCGCAGTGAGCCATCGCGGCAGGACCGCGCGGCGAGCCATCGCGGCAGGACCGCGCAGCGACCATCGCGGCAGGACCGCGCAGCGACCATCGCGGCAGGACCGCGCAGCGACCATCGCGCGCAGGACCATCGCGGCAGGACCGCGCAGTGAGCCATCGCGGCAGGACCGCGCAGTGAGCCATCGCGCATGCAGTTTACGCTGTTTGTTCGCGCTGCTTCGCACGCTTGGCTCGATGGAGCCGGAGCATTTTTTGCACTGATTGACTCGGTATAATTTTGTTGTCCAATAATCGTTTCTATAGCGGTGTCTCCGCTGGCGGCCGGTCCGCCTGCATATAGTCGCATGGGGTGGTTTCTCCGCCGGCGGCCGGTCCGCCCATTTTGCTTTTCTCGTTTGATGATATATCATTGTAGCGGTGGTTCCGCTGGCGGCCGGTCCGCCAAGCTTTTTTTTCCACGTTCATTTTCATTTCGAGATGGCACTTGAAGCGGTTGTCCGCTGGCGGCTGGTCTGCCCAGGAATTGTTCGGCGTGATTTTTATTTCGAGATGGCACTTGAATCAAGCGGTGGTCTGATGGCACCTTGCGATTTTTTTGCATGTTTGGATTGTGAGTGCGCGGGTGAAAGGCTGCAAGACTCAATCAAGGCTCCAGAATCCAGACTGCTGACTCCAGACTGCAGACTCCAAACTGCAGACTCCAGACTGCAAACTCCAGACTCCAGACTGCAAACTCCAGACTGCAGACTCCAGACTGCAGACTCCAGACTGCAGAGTCCAGACTGCCAACTCCAGAATCCAGACTGCAGACTCGAGATTCCAGATTCCAGACACAATGAATGACTCCTGGCTCCAGGATCCTGATCATTTTGTGGTGGAATTCGGCCTTTCCGGGCTTTGGGGCGGGGCTGTCTGGATGCTGGATTCTGGGGTCTGGACTGTGAATTCTGGAGTCAGGAGTCTGGATTCTGGAGTCAGGAGTCTGCAGTCTGGAGTCTGCAGTCTGCAGTCTGGAGTCTGCAGCCTGGAGTCTGCAGTCTGGAGTCTGGAGTCTGCAGTCTGGAGTCTGGAGTCTGGAGTCTGCAGTCTGTCTGTGGAGTTTGCACTCTGGAGCCTGGAGTCTGCAGTCTTGATTCTGGAGTTGGCAGTCTGGAGTCTGGAGTCTGCATCGGGAGTCTGGAGTTTGCAGTCTGGAGTCTGCAGTCTGGAGTCTGCAGTCTGCAGTCTGGAGTCTGCAGTCTGGAGTCTGCAGTTTGGAGTGTGGAGTTTGCACTCTGGAGACTGGAGTTTGCAGTCTGGAGTCTGCAGTCTGGAGTCTGGAGTTTGCAGTCTGAAGTCTGCAGTCTGGAGTCTGCAGTCTGGAGTTTGGAGTTCGCAGTCCAGAGTCTGCAGTTTGGAGTCTGCAGTCTGGAGTCTGCAGTCTGGAGTCTGCAGCCTGGAGTCTGCAGTCTGGAGTCTGCAGGAGTTTGCCGTCTGGAGTCTGCAGTTTGGGGTCTGCAGTCTGGAGTCTGCAGTCTGGAGTGTGGAGTTTGCAGTCAGCAGTCTGGATTCTGGAGCCTTGATTGAGTCTTGCAGCCTTTCATCCGCGCACTCACAATCCAAACATGCAAAAAAATCGCAAGGTGCCATCAAGACCACCGCTTCAAGTGCCATCTCGAAATAAAATTCACGCCGAACAATTCCTGGGCGGACCAGCCGCCAGCGGACAACCGCTTCAAGTGCCAT